CAGAGGAAGTTCCATCTGAACATGAGGAAGAACTTCTTCCCTCTGAGGGTGACGGAGCACTGGCCCAGGCTGCCCAGGGAGGTTGTGGAGTCTCCTTCTCTGGAGATATTCCAGACCTGCCTGGACAAGGTCCTCTGCAGCCTGCTGTAGGTGACCCTGCTTCGGCAGGGGGGTTGGATTGGATGACCCACAGAGCTCCCTTCCAACCCTGACCATTCTGTGATTCTGTGATTCTATGAAATTATTTTTTTAAGTTATGAACACATTGAATGTCTCTCCAATTGATTCTTTTTTTAATAAAAGCACCCAGCCATATAAATCAGGGCAGAAGTTAGTGCAGTTTTGCAGACTTTTTCTAGGGGAAAAGAAAGGCGCTTCAGTAGAGTAGTAAGTCGCAAGGTAGCTGCACTAAATTATTTCACTGTGGTTCTAGTTTCTGATACTTGCTGCAGTCTTTGAAAGACTTGTTTCCTGACTCCAGTTTATGTCTGTGAGGAACATGACTTAGTTCCCACTTTAACACAAATACGGAGAACAAATGAGCAACAGAGAATCATAGTCAACAAACCCACACTGCGCTACTAGAGAAAGTATTTTGGTAGTATCTTTATTAAACCTTTCAAATAAAAGGAAAGACTCCTTGCAGAATCTTGTCCTTAATCTAATTAAATGTTTAGTTTTAACTCTTGCAGCAATTTTTAATTATAGATTTTTTTTTAAACGAGAATGTTGATATTTTGAGAGTTACTGACTCCCTCTTCCCTTCTAGCCTCCGTACAGCCACTCTGCTTTCAGTGCTTCTAAAAAGGACTTGAACTTGCTCACATTAAAGATGCACAAAAAATTGTGGCTATCACCCAGTCTCCACAAAGCACTTAATACAAGGATACATGAGCTGTGTAAAGAAAGCACTGTTTGTATATCTTGAAGTACTTCCAAGAGTTTAGATATGCCTTGACAATTCTGCATTTTAAAATATTATTATTCTATACTCTTAATGGAGAGAAAGTTAACAGATTTTTCTGTTAAAACCCAAAACCTTAGCTAAGGACAAAAAGTACTATTGAAAATGGTACATAAGAACTTAACCAAAGTCCCCTTTTTATATTCTGAATTATGGGGATCCTGACAGAACTTGTGGTAATACAGCTTTATTATAAGACTAATAATTTCACTAGCCATACCATAAATGGCTTTTATAGTTCATTCCACCATTCTTTCCACCTTCGATTTTTAAATAAAATAAAGATTGTAAGGTCAAAGATACAGTACCTTAAATAATTACTCAGGTGTCTGTTAAAACTTTCACCTTCTATTTCTAAAGTCAGAATAAACATTACAGGAATAAAACCGTCTGGTCTATAAGAATTTATGTATAAATACAGCAGATTTGCTTTAGTCTCTCAGTGGTCGTTCCCAGAAACATCCTTACAAAGGCTCAGGCGTGACTACTGAGCTCTAGCTGGTCGCCAAGACCAAACTCCGTACTCATTGACGTGCCACGCAGAGCTAAACCAGCTCAGCTCTTGGGGAGGCGTTTTCCATCTTAGCTGCAGCTGCCAGCATAGAAAATACAGTTCTCTTTGTTACACGAGCATTTACACTAAGGATGTGAAGTGTTCATTTGGTCCTTACAGCTTGCTTGTTGAAATTTGTTAACTGAAAACAACTGTTTTACACCTGATTTGATTCTGTAATGCATCAGCAATAGGCAGTTTCAACCTGAATGAATGTTAGTTTTTCCTATTTCCTCCTTTCTTAATTAGCAAAGTGACAGGTTTTCCCTCTCTTTTTCCTTGTCTCTTAAACAAGCAAAAAAAACATTACTAAGAAATAGTTTCTTGAATAAATTGTTAAATTAACTCCATCAGTCAACACTGATTGTCAGTACATGCAGTCCGCTGAGAAGTTGAGAGATGTACCTCCCTGTAACAAAGGTGACTCACTGCTGCTAAGGTGATGACTGTAGGTGTCTCCAAGTGAAGATCTGCAACAGCTACATCGAATTACTACCCACTGATTCTCTGAATTCTAAATACATTTTTTTTTTAATAAGATCACATTACTCATAGGAAGAATACAAATTGTATCAGTAGTGTTACATCTTATTTAACTGTCAGCACCCTGGATGCTCTGAAACGTAGAAGGAACAAGTTCTGCTGTATAGTCTAGTGTGTGCATACATGTACTTTTTCCCCAGTGGGTTAGTTCATAGCTGTGTCAATCAGATGCTTTACACGTCTTGCCTTGCTCTGTGAATTCAAGTGCTGCTATCAAAGAAAAGGCAGTCCCAACACAGGTTGGCACCGGGTGCTGCAGAATTTCAAGGCAGTACTTGTTTTCAGCGTGAAGGATGTGTTTTTCCAGCACCTACCTAACTGAAGCCAGTACAGTTCACTATCAATTACTCATACAAAAGTTATGATCTTCATAATTTTCTGCACATCTACAAATTAAGAAACATTTTAACATGAATGATTAGATACAAAACCACATTTCCAGAAAGGAGGCAAGTTCTCTATCTACTCTCTTACTTTGTATTATGGAATTGAAGTAATATTTTGCAGCCCGTGCTAGAAAGTGATGGGATTATTTTTGGACAAGATTAGATCTTTTTGTTAGCATGGATCTAACAGGGGTCATTGAGTCAGACTTGCTTTTTTGGCTAAGATTAATTTGTTTATTGATTAAAAAATGTTTATGGTAGCCTAGAACAAGAGGTCACAGGTTACAGAAAGTTGATACCATGGATCAAGCAGAATATTTTCATATTCTTTAGTTTCTTTTACCACTTTTTATTTAACACTCAATTATTTTCTACGTAGCAAAAGTATTGATACCAGACATCCTAAATAGGAGATAGGTTTTTTTTGAACTCTGCAAATTAGGCTGGTTACATACAGTTGATTAATTTCCTTGTCTCTTACGACCTTTTTCCTATTTGGATTTGAGTAAAATACTAAGAGATTTTTACCACTAGGATTTTTCATCACAAATCTGCCTTGTATTCTGAGAAGCATGTGAAGTAGTCATACAGGGAGCAACAACTGGAAACCTTTTATGGGACTGGTTCACTTTGCTGGCACACCTGAAATTCATGCAGCCTTTGCTCTTTTTCAGATGGAAGAAACAACAGTACTGCAGACAGCATCCAGGGATACCTCCAATTGTTCTGGTAGCAGAAATAAAGCCCAAGAGTGAAGGTAATGAGATTTTGCTTGATGTCATGAAGTCTAAGTGGTCAAAGCATACAAGTATAAAAGTAAAATTGTGTGGTTTTGTTTTTTGTTGTTTTTTAAACCCACACAAATACCCTAGGTAAAAGTAGTTTAAAAATAATGACATTGTTTGGCTTGTTATTAGGCTGCTAACTTAAATATTTGGAATAAGATCAATAGATGTCAATCTGTTTTCACTCAATCGAACAATTAAAAAAGTAGCAGCTATTTCACATTTTAAACCACATGTTAAATAGGTTGCTGCTCTTGGTATACATGCTTCTTGCTTCAGCCCTTGTCTGTTCCAGTACTAAACTATGCTTCAGAAAGATGTCACTTATAACGTTTTTTTCCTGGAATAGTCCCCTCCCTGCCCTTTGACATTTAAACAATTTGAGTGCTCTTTGTTTTGCCCAGGAAAAGACAGAAGAAATAAAGCCAATTAAGATTGTGAGTTTATTTGGTCCAGCTCGTCAGAAGGAAACACAAATTAATCCTTACAGGTCTCAGTGAAAAAAGCTCTTGGGATCGTGTTTTCTTAAGAAGATATTTTACTTCATCAATATATTTGTTTACTAAACAGACACCCCTCAATGACTATATAAAATGTGTTACAACGCTCATGCTGACTGTAGCTGGCGCGCTTTCTTGGGTGTTTGCTTTGGCGTTTTCGAAGACTTGTTGGCTGACTCTGTTGATTTGCCAGCTTTGGGTGTTGCGAAAGACTTTGCTTCAGGCTTTTTGGGAGTCTTTTTTATCTCTTTTTCTTTTATTGCTTCCTTTGGCATGCTGAGCTGCTTGTTTTTTTTCTGTTTTGACGATGTCCGCAAGTCTGCACACTCTTCTGGAACTTCATGTTTTGATTTTGGAGTTTCCACAGCTAGAGGTTGTTTCTTTCTCTTACCAAGGGGTGGTTTAGTTTTCTCACCTAGGATGTCAACTTTTTCTGGACTTGGTTCCATTTTCTGTATTTAACACAGACAAATAAAGTTACCCTTCCACCTGAGAAACTTCTTTACTGTTTTGCAAGAAGAAGGATCAATGAAAACCATTATAAACGACAAATGCTTTCTACTGACTGAACTGTGCCCTAGCCCAAATCATCTGTTCACATTTCCGTCTGGAAGCAGAGGATTAAATACAGAACTAAATAATTAAAATAATGAGAAAAAAACCCAAAACCCAAACAAAACAACCCCACAAAATACTGAGCAAGCAAATAGATTTAACTGGTGCAGGGATCCTCCTGACCAGCCACGCCACTGACCTCTGCTGGCAAGCTTCAAACCACAGTCCTCTTGTTGCCACATTACCAGGCTTAACAGAGCGAATGGAGATCAGCAGCTCTAGCTGAAGTCCAGCTGCACACACAGGAACTGACTGCACTCTTACCTGTGCACCGGGCCTAGTATTCCCTAGAGCTCAGCACTATTCCCAAATGGCCCTCACGAAAGAAGGCTGCTGTCATCAGAACAATTCACGCAGTCCAACTCTAGCTGTATCCACCCCAGGTCTCTGGAAATAGGGCTCTGGCAGCCATATCACGTGAGCTAATGTACGCCTGTTGCATTACAGCAGCTTGAAGCAAGCTGCATGAATTTTTTTGGTGGGCCTGCACTTAATAGTTTTAGCTCGGGCATCCCTGAAAAGGTACATCATTACAGTTTAAGGATATGCTCCAATCATGAATATAGTGCAACTAAGTTGAATTTTAAGTGTTATTGTTTTGTTCATCCAAATATCTTTCCCAGATATTTGTTAAATGTGAGTATTATCAGTCTGGCTGTTTTGCTGACATGTTAACGACATGATCCGCATCATCTCCTATACTGGTAACAAGTCCACACAGTATTTCACACAAGCTGCTAGCTCTCAATTTATATTACATCATTGTTAATGTTGCATATTACCATCCTAGAGAATGTTATTTGTTCTTACTCAAGTTTTGCGCTCCAGGCAGAAGACGATATATTAAAATACATTAAAATTTAATTTTAAAAGAAATTTGAAATTAAAAGTTTTATGCTTTACTTGATCAAGTATTAAGCCGTTTCGCAATCATTTATTTACCCTTTCTTCTGACTTCAGGCTTGCTATTCGACCTAGACAAAATTGCTGCTATTCAGAAAAATACATAAAAGGACCATAACCACTGGCTTCCTTCGTCTGCAAGAGGGTTTAACTTAAAATAAAAATAAAAAAATTAGAACACCCACAAAACAAAAAAACCAAACCCAAAACAAAACACCTCCCCTCACACTCAACTCTTGCTTTCATGATATATTCACAAAATATCCAGTTCACCTGAAGTGTGTTAACACACACTGTTCCCTAAGGAGCAACGAACAATTTAAACAGTTCAGTACCTTTGGTTTTAACTGAAATGTGAATTTCTCAATATGATGAAACAACTACCTTCAGCCCAGCTAAGCTGGTTGTTTGCACAGGCACCAGCTGTGGAATTTCTTCATCGTCACCATCATCATGATCACCTGGTTCTTGGACAACTACTGCTTTTTCTTGTATTGCAAGCTCCTGGGTAGCAGCAACAGTGTTAATTTCAGTTGTCAAAGTGACTTTACTTGAATTCAGCTTTTTAGCTGCCTTCTTCGGTTTCTTCTTCTTCCCCTTCTAGAATTAATTGGAAGTACATCTCAGACAAATCCCCACAACATTTATAAATGTGTAATAAATGTTTTAATATGGTTAAAAATAAGATGGTCTAGCAACTTAACCTAAATATTATTGTTTAATAGACCTGGACTGGTCAACCTTATGTAAAATATGAAAAAAATGCATTACTTTCAGAAGTTTATTATAAATAGCTCATAAGTAAATGATAACAGTGTTAAGATTAGTCTTTAAATTGAATATATATGCTCCAAATTTGTTTTAGACCAAAGAGCATAATAAGCAGAACTCAGTACAAAGGAATAGCCGATTATTTTCTTTTTTTAAAAAGTAGGTGAGGCCCCCCCCATACATATACACTAATATATGAGCCTGCGAATTACTAGGATACTGCTGATTAGCCAGCAAATAATGGATGCATAGTTTGAATCCATGTGTATGTTAATGAGTGTATTTTCAGAAGGCAAATAGGAATAAACAATACAAGCAAAAGGTCTAAGAATCAGTCTCAGCTCCCTACAGTTTAGGACTAGAAACACTTAACTTACTTATTTCCAGTTTGGTTTACAACCTCCCAGGGATTCTGCATGATTTCATTAGTATTACCGAGTACTTGAAACACTCGGAGTCAGGAGCACCTAACCCATCTGTAGCCACAAATGCCTGGGATCAACTGCTAAAACATTTCAACTCAACACATCAGACACTGTAACACATAAACGGAAACCAAAGAACTAGTCGTTCCAACTTGGTTTTATGGAAAGTTTGAAGTTTTGGGTTTTTTTTTACCTTTACTTCCTGTTTTTTGAGAGATGGCGGTCTGTCAAGCTCATCCAAGTTGGATATATTTGCAGTAAAAATCGGAAGTGCAACTGATTTAAGTGTTTTGAGGTGAAGAATTTTTACATTTTTCCAATTCTGCAACAACAAAAACAGTATATTACGTAAAAATAACAAGGCTGAGTTACAGACCGACTTGGCTTTAATGCAGTTAATCAGCAGTACCTTTGGTAACTTCTCAGCAATCACCTCAGCTGCAGCCATGATATTATCTAGTATCTCATCAGCTTTCATTCCAGTGTGACCTATACGCGCTGTACTGAAAGAAGTGAAGAGGGGGACAAATAAGTTACTTGTTTTCAGGCAAACCCAGAAAGGAAAAAAGCCCACTTATCTGCAATTATCTTAGCTTTCATTAAGGATGGCTGCCTGTTGCAGAAGTCTTTTGGAGTAACAGTTACAATAGATTTACCAGCAATAACCCTTCCGTACTTGGATACACAACTTCTTTCTGCCTTATGTGACTAAGCATACTACCAATTAAGATCATTTTAGATGCACAATAAATTAACAGAAATCTTATAAGAACAGAGTATTTTGGAAGTAGTTTTTAGCTAATTTAACAGCAGTATTTTTCTAAGATTGTACATGCTGTTTGACAGCGACAGTTGCCCAGAAATTCCTTAGGTACAGGAAAAAAGACAGAAAAGGTAAAACTTCACAGTAGAACTTCTTATTAAGTAGAACTGCTAATTTCTTTATACAGCTTAAGGTTCAAAATGGCCCCTATCTGGAACAGTGACCCCTGACCTCTTTTATTCACGTATTAATGGAATAAAAGTAACTCACTTAAAATGCCTGCGGTTAAGGGACAACTGTTCTTTGCGTGAAGCACTGATCTGCTCATACTTACTAACAGCACCCTTTGTTGGTAACTGGGAGTGTAGTCCCCTGGATATGTTTCTGTATTTCCTTAGCAAGATTTCTGGCTTTCAGGTTTACAGACAAAGGTGCCCTAAAATAGAACGGGGAGGGGGGTTAAAAAAAAAATAATTTAAAAAACCCAGAAAAAAACCCCTCCCCAAGCCAACCAGCCAACACTTTACTAAGAGGAATCTAATCTTAAAAAAGATAATGCAAAATTGACATACAGAATTCAAGGACCTACTTCTTCCTTGCATAGAAGTGTTTTCCTAGATGTGAGGGCAAGAGCCTTCTAATTCCGTCGTCGGACAGAAAGAGATCAAATCTGTTCAGGAGGCGACGCTTTGCTTCGAAGAGCTTATACTCTTTTTTCAGAGTTTTGTACGAGATGATCTGCAATGCAAGTAACAGTTTAGTCCCCACCGCTGCAGACACAGCCTAGAACACTTCCCAGAGCTGCATAGAATTAACTTGCATCACTGACCATCTGTAGCGGTACGTTATTTTAGAACGCTGAAAAAGGATACGGTATCTTTTGTTTTAAGAATCGAACAACACGGATCTCTTGCACAGTAACTGCGAATCACCAAACAGAGCCTGAGTACATGGCAACATCCGAGTCAACGTTGAACACAACAACAGAATTGTTTTCTAGTTTTATTGCTAGAAGCATAAGCAATCCAATCCAGCTGAAAGAATTCATTCTTCTACATTGTGAGTCTTTCCAGTTGCTGAAGCAAGCTAAGTGTTACTGATCATTCATCTAGCAATGACATCTGATGGCTAAAGGTCCTGTTTCAAATCGATGATATTATTCCAAGTGAATTCTTAAGTTTAGGGAAACTACGGTCTGAATAGTCAGAAAACTCTCACCGGAGATACTAACTCGGAACCACTAAAGGGCAGGGAACAACTGCTCTCCCTGTTCGCTGCAGGAGAGGAAAGACGCCTCAGTGCTGTATCACACCGCCACCTCTCTCACCTGGCTAACGCTGCTGATCCCATTCTCGGTTAAAAGCTTCCGGTACCGATTTTCCGTCTGTTCTGCTGACAAATTCGGTTCATCCCTTGTGAACAGGCAGACCTCCGCTGTTTCTGGTCGGACACCGTGGGGCAGTGGTCTGCAACGAGAATGTGAGAGGGGCAGGGAGCGTCTGAGAGAGAAAGACCTCCCAGCACTAGGTCCTCCAGCAAGGACGAGGAAGCTGCGTCTGTCGGCTCTGTGTTAACTGCTAGGCGTCCTCGGCGCAACTCGCACCTTCTCGAGGACGCAGAACTGTGAGAGCCTCCCCGCGACACGCTGTGGAGCCCACGCGCC